TCAGTGCCCAGCAGTGCCGCCAGTCAGTGCTGTCAGTCAGTGCCATCTATCAGTGCCCATCAGTGCCACCTATCAGTGCCCATCAGTGCTGCCTATCAGTGCAGCCTCATCAACGCACATCAGTGAAGGAGAAAAATTACCTGTTTGCAAAATTTTATAATAGAAACAAAAAAAAATCTTTTTTTTTTTTCACATTTTTTGCAATTTGTTTGTTTATAGCGCAAAAGATAAAACACCTAGTGGCAATTAAATACCACCAAAAGAAAGCTCTATTTGTGTGAAACAAATGATAAACATTTCATATAGGTACAGTGTAGCATGACTGCGCAATTGTCATTCAAAGTGCGACAGCACTGAAAGCTGAGAATTGGCCTGGGCAGGAAGGGGGTATAAATGCCCGGTAGGCAAGTGGTTAATTATCGCATGTATTTCATTATTTATTTCCTTTTGTGAATTGGCTTTAATGCATTTGTTACTATCATAAGCCAGCAAAGGATCTGCCTGAACTTTTTTGTGTGTGTTTAACCAATGGAGATATGCAATGGAGTTGATTTATCAAAACTGTAATGCACAAAATCTGGTAAAGTTCTGCATAGAAACCAATCAGCTTCTAGTTTTTTTTTTTTTTTGCCAAGGCATAATTGAACAAGCTGAAGTTAGATGCTGACTGGCTACTAAGCACAGCTGAACCAGATTTTACACTCTCCAGTTTTAGTAAATCAATGTATAATGAGTATGTGTGTTCAACTAATGGGCAAATTCAAAAAGAAATGGCAATAGTTATTCAGAAACTAGGACCGCTGCTTCTGTGACATTTTAACTGAGGAAATAAGCAATTAAGAAATTGGAGACATTTAAAGTGAAAGTAAACTCTGTTTTGCATCATTTACCTACAGGTAAGCCTGTACCTGTAGGTACTGTAAATATCTCCTAAACGTGTACAGTTTGGAGATATTTACTGTAAAAGCAACGGCTATGCTATGCATACTAGTACAATATGCTCTTAACTTGCAGGGAGAATATTTTTTTAGAATTTTTTTTTTTTCATGGTTTACTACTGCTTTAAGGAAACTAGAAGAAAGAGTATGCATAAGACCAAGAAATTACATTTACAAATATAGAAGAAGTATGAATGCTGCATACAAAAGCAGGTGGTGACATCAAAAAGCAGTGCGGCTGCAATGGGGAATAATTTGTCAGTATCGGAAGATGTACCACACGTGGCAATAGAAACATCGTATGCAACCAGAGCAAGCAGAGAGCCAGTCCATCTGAAAGTCTGTGTTTAATACAAATGCTCTATACTGTTCATTACAGCTAGAATTCTTTTTGCTTTTCTACATTTAGGCCCCATTTACACTTGAGAATGGGGCCATTAGTGATTATATATGGGATACTCAGCAAGGGTATCCAGTGATTAGTTGTGGGCAGAAGCCCCACTGAAAGCAATGAGAGGCTGACATCTCTCACAGCCCACATTGTGGCTGCTGGAATGTAACTACTCAAGCAGCAATCACCTGTGAATGATCCACCCTGGAGAAGAGGTCCAAGCTCTGGTAAAGTGGAGGTCCAGGGATCAAGGTTATTCATTTCAAGGGTAACCCTCTTTTTCAAGCCTGAATTTTGGCTAAGGGTGTCATAGTCTATATAACATTCCAGGAGTCAGAAACAGAATACAGCAACAGAAAAACCATTAAAACTTGAATAATCTAATCAAATTAATGATACAACATTAAAAATGGGGGAAAACAAAGAAGTACTTATACTAGTTGGTTTATTAAAGGCAAATAGACTGTGCGCTTTGTGGTGAAGCTCGACTTTGTAAATACCCAATCAGGTTCAAGGAAGAAAAAAAAACAATTTGCCTTTAGTAAATCCACCCCTTAGAAGAAAAAAGCCAAACAATGTTTATGCACTTGGTAATACAATTATTGGATGAAATATTGACTCGCCATGATTATTTTGTATTTAGCTTTTGTAAAGAATCCTTAAAATCAAGGTGCATGCAGATATGCTGAACGTCTACCCATGTTCACTAGCAGCTTCTTAAAAGAGACATTTAAAAAATAGACTTACCGTGTTTTTTCGTAATTTGAGTTTAGGCCAGTAAATGACTGACTTCTAGTGACTGAAGCAGAGTTGATCCTTGGAGTCTGCACAGACAGTGACATTGTAGAATAGGCCTGGTTCCCTGAAACCAAAGAGTGATCATGTCACATACATTTTTAAAAGCCAAGTTATAGGACCAATTTTTTGGCTATTCCATATCAAGAGATTCCTTCAAGGAAAATTTCTAGAGCGACACATAAGGTACACCCCTTCTATGTCCAGCTAGTAGACTGACCAACTGAGTTCACTAATGTTTAACCTCCTTAGTGTTACATTTCCCACCAAGAAAAACCTTACATTTTTAAGTTAAATGTGCATTTTTATGCTTGAAAATTACATAAGACTCCAAAACATCATATATTTTCTGCAGATTTTGGAAAACTGTTTTCAAACCTATATTTACAGCAAAAAGAACACTAAAATTTCTAGTGCACACAATGCCAATATAATTCCCTTTTTGTAAAATTTAAAAGACAAGACTGTGTTGACTAAATAGACACCAAATATGTAAACTCTTAAAAGAGAAAAAAAGAAAAAAATACCAAAGGGACTGACAACCCCCTACCTTCATTCCATGTGACCGATGTTTACCAATCCTCCTCCACTTGCCATCAGAAACATCCCGGAGCTAACCCAGAGCATTACACAGGCTCAGAATTGCATGTAAAAATGGTTACCCTGAATAATGCTTAGGGTTAAGCATTTTTACATAGAATTTCAAGTCTGAATAATGCTCAGGGATGACTTCCAGTTGTGCACTCACATTTTTTCAGGTGCCACAGCAGCGCACCAAACTATTCCAAACATATAATATCCAACAATAACATTGATCGGTAAAACCAGCTTCTAACAGTGTATTGTGTTCCGAGCGTTGGGATGTCATCCTTGGGGAGGGGCTGGATGACATCACGATGCTCGAAACACGAGACAGTGTGGTAACTATACACTGTTAGAAGCTGGTTTTACTGATCAATGTTATTGTTGGATATTATATATGTGGAACAGTTTGGTGTGCTGATATGGCACCTGAAAAATGTAAATGCACAACTGGAAGTCTGTTTTATTGGTAATAAATACTTTTAAAAAAGGATAAGCACTATGCTTGATGGTCTCTCTCTATATGTAGGGCTGAGGAGGAGTGCTGAGTGAAGTTATAACAGATCTCCGTGCAATGTGGATGGTGCACATACAGTACTGTTATTGGACTGAAGTACAAAAACAAAATACTCTATCGCACAAATGGAGCAAGAGTGATTAGGTCCCAAGCAAGAAACCATAGTCACTGTATGGTAGATTCAGGTTTATTAAACCACTTCTTTAATGGCTGCAGTTCACCTAACAGGGTATTGGATGTCTCTGTGCACTAAAACAAAAAACAAACAGAAGGCGCCGCCAACTAAGTGAGTCATGGTTTGACAAAAGAGCGATTGTGGGCTCCGAAATATGTTACCCCCCCATCCCGCTTTGACGTCAATACATCCCAACGTCACTTCTGATTCTGGTCTTAGTGCTGGTTGCCGTTCCAGTGTGGCTATATTTGCTGCTGGAGGAAGACACAGCCTGTAATAAGGACTTAATCTGCATTCTGAGAGTCCAGCTTTATTCCACCTATCCTGCAGAGCTGTTTTAAGAATACATCTCATCCATCCATCCATCCACCCCAACCGCTGTCCACTGAGGCTTGCCAGCGAATAAGGACTGATGATATGCCTATTTACTCTCATCCTTGTGAGTGCATTTTAACCCTTCCCTTTACTTGTTTTTAATTAAATTGATACACTTAGATGGTAGGACCTTGTGTTTGTTTATTGTTTACTGTTATTGTACTGAGCATGTTTTCTACAATTCTATTTTTTATTTTTGTTTTCTTGCAAAAGGTGCTTGCATAGCGTGAAGTGCGGCACTTTTTGGTTAATATTTGTGTCACGTAACACATTATATGTGAGAGTGTGTATGGTGTGAGCAATTCACTCTTGTTTAGTATTTGCAGCATAGCAGCTCACAAGGATTTTTGTTTTAGCATGAGCAGTAGTCACTGTAGCAGCAGATTAAAGCGGAGTTCCACCCAAAGGGGGAAGTTCCGCTTTAAAGACTGGTCCCCCGCTCCCCATTAGGGATTGGCACCTTTGGGGGGTGGGGGGGGGCGGGTACCTGAAATTGACAGGTACTCACTCCCACTTCCGCTGTGATTGTCTAGGTGATTGGAAGCGGAAGTTGTCCTCCTACCCTCCGTCCCCGTAGTCTTTTGGAACACGTGACAGTTCCCAGAAGACTATGGGGCCATTCAGAAAGCAAAGCACTACTTGAGTATGCGCAGAGGGCACCCGGCTGTGAAGCCACAAGCTGTCACAGCCGGGTGCCCACACTATAGATGCCGCGCCTGGAACACAGGACAGCCGGTGAAATGGGCTGCGGGGAGGACATTGCAGGATCGTGGGACAGGTGAGTGGCTGTTTCTTAAAAGTTAACAGCTATAGTTTTTGTAGCTGCTGACTTTTATTTTTATACAGTCTGAGTGGAACTCCGCTTTAACATTGTCAAACATTGCTCATCATGATTAACTGCTTCGCTGCCGCCCTATAGCAGTACCAGGGGCGGACTGACCACTCATGGGGCCCCCGGGCAATAGGGGATCATGGGGCCCCTGTGTCATTGCCCAAACTCAAAAAAGCCTATCATAAAGGTACCAGGGGCATCTCATGGGGCCCCCTACTGACCCCTAGGTCAGTGCCCGAGTTTCCAAATGGTCAGTCCACCCCTGAGCAGTACTACTGCTACAGAGCGACAGGGCATCGCAAAATCACGTATATATACTTGATTTTGCATTTCCGGGTAGGGGGCACGTGCATGCTACCCTACCTGCACCGCCATTGGTAGGTACAGATGTCAAACACCAGGTCCCGGATGGAGATTCCCCGCCGGCACCCGGTTATCACCGAGGAACAGTGACAGGGGAGAGACCTGTGTGTAAACAACACGTCTTTCTGCTGCCAGCAGTAACATGCTGCTGTGTACTTGTCTGCACGGCAGAAAAATACACGGTAGCATGTTTTACATAGTAAAACACACACAGCACATACAGTAAAACAGCACATAGTTAACCCTTTGATCACTCCAGATGTTAACCACTCCCTTCCCAATGTCATTAGTACAGTGTCAGTGCTTTTTATTAGCAGTGATAACTGTATTAGTGTCATTGGGATGTCAGTGGCAGTTAGTCAGTCCCCCCGTGGCAGAATGCCCGCCTCAGTCCCGCTATAAGACACCGAGGGTAAATCCTCTGGAGGGCAAGTGGTTAATAGTCATAAGCTCAGTGTTTGCCCCAGTCACACGTTCGGACTGAACACTGGCTATCCAAACACCAAACGTTTAGGGCTTTCGGAGTGGATGAACAAGACAGCTTCCGGCTGTCAATGCTCGCTAAGAAAGCAGCGGATGTTTGCACCTGCTGAGCCCTTACCAACCACTGATGTCACATGGTCCATTCACTTATGTGGTTGAGGATTCTGGCCACATAAGCAAATGAACATTACATCATTGTCTAAATATGACCACACATGGCCATATTTGAACAATGATGTCACCACTGTCCTTCCTTTATTTAGCTGGTGACAGCTCAGGGAGCTTTCATTCAGCTTTGTTTGTGGCAGGTCATCAGTTTTTTTTTCAACGAGTTTGAAGTGGCAGGCACCATGATTGATGATGATTTACAACGAAGGACTTTTTTAGGGTTCTTTTTTTTTTTTTTAATAAAGGACTTGTCAGATGTTTGCGTGTCTTCATTTCTAGGTGAAATCTTTTTTCCTTTTTTTTAGTGAATGAGCATGGGTGCTCTGTACCCCATCCACCTGGTGGGGCTGTATCTAAGGGCCTCTTATTAAAGGAGGTTGTCAGATTCCGATAAGCCCCCCACCATCAGACCCCTACAACCTGAGGGCAAGGGTTTTGGGGATGAGGCCCCTGTCCTCATCATCATAGGATGTGCTACAGAAAAAAATGATATTTACGGAAAGAAAAAGTAAATTACACATTTTAAATTGCAACTAAATAAAATTTCATTGCCGGCTTTGGTAAAAAAAAAAAAACAGCACACAGACCCTAAGGGTTTATGCACACTCCCAGTGCCTCCCAGCATGTTGACCTGAAGTCCTTGCAAGAGGCAGAGGCATTCCTACCTCCCTTACAAGGTAATCTCACAAAACTGAGGGCATATGCCTGGTGTGGATCCTGAAGGAAGAGGGAATATATAGTTGTTGCCTCCCTGTCCTGGACACCTGGGCTGCATGCCTGGATAAAGGTCTTCTATGAATCTTTAGGGGGAGTCCAAGCCATGGGACAGTTCACATTGTTGACACTATGTGCACAAACCTTTTATTTAAAAAATGTCATGTGGTTCCCCTTACAATTCAAACCAACATATCAAACATGTTGTCCAGCCATGTAGATCCACGTCAGTCATGATGACCTGCCATGCCCAGCAATGTCACCTGCTAATACTCTTGTTGCAATTGACAGATGCCTGGGACTGCTGGAGTGTAACTACAGTGATTTGGGATCCCGGATTATGTTATTGACTAGGTATGGCCATATTTGGTCAATTACATCATTCAGGATCCCCACCAGCTTATTTACAATCAGAAGCCAGCAGGTATCTGTCATTCAGCAGCAGTAGTACTAGCGCTGCTAAATGACAGATTCCAATCTGTTGTTTGTAACACATAGACCCTGATTTACTATTGTGCCTAGGCGCATTTCCGTGGGCTAACGTCTACTTTTTAATAGCGACCGTCTACTTTTACACCGCAAAGACATTTACTAAAGAAAGCGTCAACAAGTAGACGCCAAATCGAATTTACTAACGAGACACAGTCCAGGAATCAGACTCAAAAAGCAGACTTGCTAAGAGGCACGTCTAACACCATGGAAAATCACTGCAGAGACATGTTCACATTGAAATTTGCTTTGCCAAATACCAGGACTTCACTTTAAACAATATCTGCCATTTCAAAAAAAATTTAAAATGTGTAAAAAATAGTTTTTTAAAGCAAGTTGACACAGTGAAGAACTAGACGCTTTTGTAGCTTCTTTGGCCTATATAAATGCACATGTGCAGAACACATTTTAGATGTCTTCCATGATGTCTTTCTTTTTAGACACTGTTCAATAGTAAATCTCTGTGTGGAGTCCACTGACAGACGGCACTCGATCGCGTCTACTGTGTTTAACAAACAGCCCTATTTGTAGCTAGGCATATCTTTATGTATTCTAATTTGATTTCCTTAGTTCCATTGATTCTATTTTTGTTTCTTATCCTTTATAGTTATTTCTGTAATGATTTTACTTATTTTGAAGGTCTAGATAATATTTATTTTGACAGCTGAATGTAAAAATAAAGGTCTGCAATAAAAAAAAAAAAAAAACTGCATGGGGTCCCCCCTCCAATCCATACCAAGCCCTTCGGGTCTGGTATGGATATTAATGGGTAACTCCACGCCAAAATTAAATAAAAAACAGCATGGGGTTCCCCCCAAAATCCATATCAGACCCTTATCCGAGCATGCAGCCCAACAGGTCAGGAAAAGGGGGGGAACGAGCGAGCGCCCCCCCTCCTGAACCATACCAGGCCACAGGGCCTAAACATGGGGGGGTACTTTGGGTGCTCCCCCCCCAAAGCACCTTGTCCCCATGTTGATGGGGACAAGGGCTTCTTCCCCACAACCCTGGCTGGTGGTTGTAGGGGTCTGCGGGCAGGGGGCTTATCAGAATCTGGAAGCCCCCTTTAATAAGGGGGTCCCCAGATCCCACCCCCCCCCACGTGAATGAGTATGTGGTACCGCTACTCATTCACAAAAAAAAAAAAAGCAAAGGTGTAGTGTAAAAAAACACAGTACAGGGTCTTTGACAAGTCCTTGAATAAAACAGTGTCCCCCGAAGTAGATCCAACGTCAATCACGGTGTCATGGCGGTGCCCAGAAAAAAAAAAAAAAAAGTTCCGCTCTCGACGGAGTCTACCAGCCTTATGCAGCGATTCTCGCTGACAGGTCTTAAATACGTAAGGGGGGGGGGGCAGCCGGGGACATCATCCGAGTGACCCCACCCCATGTGACATCATTGATGTCACATTGGGTGGGATCACATGCTTGATGTCCCCGGCTGGCCCCGCCCCTTACCTATTATTGTATCTATTTGTATCCATTTCGGATACAAATAGATACAATGTTGCAACCGCTATACTTTTTAATGTCAAATATAATAACGGAGCTCTCTGCAGGGACAGAAGTAATACTCCGCTATTAAATTTGCCGGCCGTAGATGGGACGAAAAATCAGCCGATTTTTTTTTACCGTTTTTTTTTTTTTTAATGGCCCGTTAACCCGTCTATGGCCTGCATTAATGTTTCAGCTGTCAGCGGGGTTCCCCTCCTGAACCATACCAGGCCACATGCACTCAACATGGGGGGGTGCTTTGGGGTTCCCCACTGACAGCTGAATGTAAAATAATTCCCGTAAATTAAATAAATAATAAAAAAAAAGGCATGGAGTCCCCCCTCCCATCCATGCCAAGTCCTTCGGATCTGGTATGGATTAAGGGGTAACTCCTCGCCGAAATTATTCTGATAAGCCCCCCTGCCCCAAAGCACCCCCCCATGGTGAGGGCATGTGGCCTGGTATGGTTCAGGATGGGGGGGCACTCGCTCGTCCCCCCCCCCCCCCCCCCCTTCCTGACCTGCCAGGCTGCATGCTCGGATAAGGATCTGGTATGGATTTTGGGGGGGACCCCATGCCGTTTTTTTTTTTTTTTTTTTCCATTTCGGCGTGGACTTACCCCTTAATATCCATTTCAGACCCGAAGGGCTTGGTGTGGATGGGAGGGGGGACAATGTAAACAATGTTTACTTTGAGTTTATTGAAAGATACAAAGTTTTCTGTAACTTTGGGGAAAGTGACATCTAAGCTTGTGAACTATAGTGAAGAAAAAAAAAAGGCTGGCATTTGCATTAAAAAATCAGCGCCGACATATACTTTGTATTGCGAAAAAAAATTATTAGCAATTGTGTAAACCGAGGCATTATTTTCAATGGATGTCATTTGTAAACCGAAAAATACGTTAACCGAGGCATTGGTAAACTGCGGTACACCTGTATTAGTATTGCAATCCTTTGTATTGGGATACATAGAACCAACATACATCTGAATTGGCAACAGAGAAGAGGATTTTAAAAAAATTTAATAAAATAATGGCATGGAGTCCCCCCCCCCCCCAAATCCATAACAGACCCTTATCCGAGCATGCAGATACCACATGCCTTCAAAGATTTATTTCCTTTGTTGAATTGGTTGGTTGGTTCACACTAGATGCGATTTAAAATTGTGCTTTTTGTTGGCAATTTCACCGTATTTTCTGTAGATTTACCAATGAGTTATTGCGTTATTGTGTTTTCAATTGCATTGTGATTTCTATTGTAGTCTATATGTGAAATCGCTACAAAATGCTGAAAAAGTTAGACAAGAACTAATTTTGAAATTGTGCTGCAGCAAATCACTTATGTTAAGACACTCACATCCACATTCATTAGATCCGATATCAGGTACAATTTCAATTCCCAAATCGCACATGAAATCGTGCACCCTGGATGCGACTTGGCATGTGATTTGCATGCCCTGCGACTTGCAAATCGTATGCCAAATTGCACCCGATGTGAGTGGGGGCTAACACCACAGTCACATCTATTCCGAGTTGGAAATTGGGCAACTTACAATGAAGCCGCACGCAGGGGCGGACTGACCATTCGAGCGCTTGGGCACTGCCCGAGGGTCCGGGGTCAGTAGGGGGCCCCATGAGATGCTCCTGGTACCTTTCATTGGCTTTTTCATAGTTTTTTTTGGGTGTGGGCCCCATGATCCTCTATTGGCCAGGGGCCCCATGAGTTGTCAGTCCGCCCCTGGTCGCACAATTTCAAAATCAGATTGGATGTGAATGGAGCCTATAGTGGACAATAGGATGTGACTTGGCCTACGATTTAAAAGTCGCCTAGCATGCAAATCGCATGCCAAATTGCACCCGATGTGACTGGGGGGGCTACCCTGATCACATCAAAGCGGATTTTGAAGTGGTGCGACTTACACTACAGTCACATCTTGTGACTTACAGTAAAGTCACATGATTTCAAAGTCAGGGGACATGCTGATTTAAAGTGCGATTTGCAACACATCTGACACAGATCTCTCTGCAAATCGCATGAAAAGTAGTGTATTCATT